CCAAATGGAAAACACAGTGTCCACGGAGTTCTTGTTGCAGTGACAGGGAAATGCTTGGCTGCCTTCGTGACCACATTCCTTTTGTGTCATTAAAAAATCCACCAGCACTCTCCCAGTTTTGGGACCATCGGCCTCGCCTTCATTGCCAGGAGTAACATCAGCAGCTCATCTAGAGGGGAAGAACCACATCTGACTGCTGGAAGTGGAAGAGAAGTGATCCACACCACTGAGCAAATCTCTCATTAAGATGCTGGCAGGTGATAGGAAAAAGATTTGCTTAATTATCCCATAGTAATTCCCAGTTTTACCCACAGGAGGTCAGACTTTGCCGAGGCTTATCAGCTTCCCATGCAAGCAACCCAGGGCAAATCCCATTGCTGCGGGACCAGCAAAGCCACTGTCTTACTAGCCCAGCTTAGGTTTGGGCCTAAGACCCTTCTGTTCCTCCTGGCATTCTCTGATGATTCTCCAGCTGCTCCTCTGCCCACCTTACCAGTGCAAATCTCCTCTCCAAGGCTGTTGGACACACACGAGGATAGGTCTCATGAGATGGATAATTTCATCTGCTTAGCCATTCCTCACTTGCTTTTCTTTTCTTGCTTTCATATTTCCCAATCCAGCTTTCCAGTCCCTCCACTGCCTCTGTCAAAAGGCGTCCATTGCATCCCGTGCCTAGTCTGTAGCTCCAACCTGGTTTAATAAGAAAATGTGAGATATACAACTGTACGTAGCAGAGAAATTTCTGTTGCTGTAGGTTCTGGAAAATGTATGTTCAGGGGGAATAGCATTCCCACATAAAGGAATGGTTCAGTGTGAGCTCACTTGTTCTTCAGAGAACAGAGAGAGAAGCCACCATCAAGGCACAAGCACAAAGGTCACAGGCTTCACCCAACACTGCACTTGCAGAACTACTTTATTTCACGCTATGTGAAAGTGTTTCAAACCTCTGGGAAGTAGTTAGATATAAACAAAGATCCTTCTTTCATCCATCAAAAGCCTCCATAGACTCACTGCCCTCCATGCCCAGGGGCTAGCCAGGTCTTTCTCTTTATTTGAACGACTGCAGGGTTTAGGACTTAGAGAGCCTTGGCTTTCCCTGGCTTCTGTAAAGCTGCCAGCAATGAACATCTTCCTCCAGGAAGAGGAGTGGATGCATTCAAACATGTTTTCCACCAGACATCAGCCAGCTACTCAAGCAAGGCCTTCACCCTCTCACAGCCACAGACAGTCCAACAGCCTGAACACAGGTTGGTGGAGATTACTCATACAGCCACGCAGGCTCCAAAGTTTCACATCCATTCTACTGTATCATCTGCCATTTTCACCATAAATCCACAGACTGCTGTCTCCTTTTATCATGCATTCACACAGGACCCTCTCCTGAAAGATTTCCCCACATTGATCTTATCTCTGTGCCTTTATCTTATCTCTGCCTCCTTGAACTCTATCCCCCTACTGCACCCAGAGTACCAGAATTAGGTAAAAACACCAGGCAATGCAGAGGCTTTAGTCACCATTATACTCCTAAATTATCTCTCAACAAGGCACCACTGAGCATGAGGACAGAAGTTCGGAGAGAGCCTTCCTACTTTCAGAACACTGAGAACAGCTGTCTGGCTAAACAGCATGTTCAGCTCCAATAATGGTTCATGTTTCAGGAGAGAAACTCTGTGAGTCTGGTCCCTCTCCCTGTGCCTGCTCCTGCTTTTCCAAAGCCTGTCAATCCCCAGCTTCCTTTTCCCCATGTGACACATTGTCTCTGCTGCAGTTTCCTGGGAGGGAGGTGAGAACAGCAGTGCTGCTTTACCTCAGAGGGGCACCATGAGCCCAAGTATGCAAAATACATCTCACACATTACAGTGAAAAGATCTATAAATACTGAAGACAGATGAAAGTTTTCCATCCTCCTACAAAATACTGCCCACACTTATCTCTGCCCTCACACCTCTCCATCTACTTTCATCCTCTTTTAAACCTGCTTTCCTTGCTAGCTCAGCTTCATTTAGCACAAGGAACATAATGCTTTACATGTGTGGAATGTCCTTTAGGGCCCCGCAGAATTAAACACAAGTGAATATAAAATAAGGTATTTTATTCCAATTTATATTTGGATAAACAAACGATTTCTCATCACAGCTTCTGGAAGTGGCTGTCATGCTCCATGACACGAGTCCATTGCTGTCCGCAGATTAGCCAGGCACAAGGAAGCCTTAAATGAAGCCCATTGCAAGGACTGCTTACTGCTTCCCCCAGTTTGGGGCTCAGGACTGCCCTGCCTGGCCACCAGCAGAGGCAGGGGCACAGCACAGCCCAAGACCCCACTGACCAATTGGCACAGCATAGTGGCTGCTGTGTCTGTCTTCAGGACTTAACAGGGGTCTGCAAGAAAGGTGAGGACAGGCTTTTCAGAGGGGCCTGGAGTGACAGGAAAAGGGGGGATGGTTTTAAACTGAAAGAAGGGAGATTCAGACCAGCTATTAGGAGAAGGTTTACTCAGTGAGGGTGATGAGGCCCTGGCACAGGTTGCCCAGAGAGGCTGTGGCTGCTCCATCCCTGGGAGTGTTCAAGAGCAGGTTGGACAGGGCTTGGAGCAATCTGGTTTAATGGAAGCTGTCCCTGCCCACGGCACAGGGTGGGACTGGCTGGGCTTTGAGGTCCCTTCCAACCCAAACCTAGGATTTTATCTTGCCTCTCTGCTCAGGAGCTTTAAGGTAAATATAAAACACTCTCTTAAGACCCTTAAAATGCAGCTGCAAATGGCTCCAAGTCCTCTGTGTATTTTATGTTTCATTATCATGTTTAGTACTTTCTTTGTGGTCCTTTGTGGTTTCCTTTAGATTGTAAAACTTCCAGGTAAGGAATTTGTTATCTCTTTGGCAAGATCCAGCCATACCAAGCTGTGTACATATACAACACCATATAAAAGATTAGTGCTTTATTGGCCACTGAAGCATAGCTAGTTAATAATCTTTAATGTGGCAGTTATTTATCCAGTCGTAAACAGAGCATTGCTGCCAAGCCAAGTCAAATAAACACTATGGAAATCCTTCATCCTTAAAACGAACCAATTTCTGTCCTGGCCATTGTAGGCTTTGCAAAAACATATTGTTACTGAACACAATAGTCAGATTTTAAAGCTTTCCTAAGGCAGCAATTGTTTCTAACATCTGTGCTGAGCTTTCCCAGGCCCCAGGGCAGAAGCACAGCCCAAGTTCTCCTCACACAGCCCTGCTCTCTGTAGTATAATGACCAAGGAGCCAAGCAAGGGCTGAGGCTCAATACCTACAGTGAATGCGAAAGGCCCTGAAGGAGCAGGTCCTGTGGAGATGCAATGATCCTGCTCTCGCTCTGAAGAATGAAGCAAATGAGAACAAAGTTGTATGACCAGAACTTCGAAGGACACCATAACAAAAAAAAAAAACAAAAACCAAAAACCACAAAAAAAAAAAAAAACCAACAAACCCTGCATATGCTAATTACCTTCATTAAGTACCTTAATCTCACATATATTACAGTATTACATTGCTCTCTGCTTAGATCAGGCTATATGAGAAGAAGGAGGAGGGGGATAAGATTGGGGTGTATATAAGGAGGGTAAAAATTTCACCTAGTTAGGAGGAAGACCCAAAAGGACCTCAGAAACAGATGATGGGCTACTAGTCTCCTCTCCCTCCTCCCAAGCATTCATTGTAAGCTTCTACATAAAATGATTATGATTATTATTACCTGAGCTAACACTATACTACTGCTACTGTTAGAACTCTATCACAGCTAGTGCATCCATCTAGGGCAATTCCAAATCTATTATTTCATAGAATCTTACAATGGTTTGGGTTGGAAGGGATTTTAGAGCTCATCCAGTCCCATCCCCTGCCATGGGCAGGGACACCTTCCACTGTCCCAGCTTGCTCCAAGCCCTGTCCAGCCTGGCCTTGGGCACTGCCAGGGATCCAGGGGCAGTCACAGCTGCTCTGGGCACGCTGTGCCATGGCTTCACCATCCTCTAAGTAAAGAATTTCTTCTGAAAATCTAATTAAAGCATACTTTATTAGAATACCTTACAGTTATTCTCCCTTTCCATTCCCCCTTGCATTTCTGCTGCTTCAATAAACCACACCATTCATGAATCTGTGATGGTGAAAGTTCTTATTGAACATTACCAGACTCAGTGTTGAACATGCCCTGTTTGAGAACCTGTGCTCATGGAAGTTCCTATTGAACGCAACCACTTATAGCACCAAACAAGTTATAATAAGAGCTTAAGCCCAGCTACCCTCACCCTCTCTGATCACTAATAACCAGCTGGCTAACAAGGGGTTTCTTTTCCACCAAATTTCTACACTCATATCACAACACTGCCACAACCACCGTGTCTGCCCCACATTGCCCCCCATCACTCCTCACAGTCCCCGTCACCCCTAACACTCCCTAAATTTTGGCCTGCACTCCCCTCACAGTCCTTCCCTGTGACCCCTCACAGCCTCCTGTTCCTCCAAAGCTCCCATCGCCCCTCACAGCCACCCTCACCACCCCTCTGTCAGCCCCTCACGGCCCCCACAACCCCTCACAGCCCCTCACAGTCCGTCACAGCTCCCATCAGCCTTCCACGGCCCCCACCGCCCCTCACAGTCCGTCATAGCCCCTCACAGCCCTTCACAGCCCCCACCACCCCTCACAGCCCCTCACAGCCCCCACCACCCCTCACAGTCCGTCACAGTCCGTCACAGTCCCTCACAGTCCCTCACAGCCCCCACCACCCCTCACAGCCCGTCACTGTCCCCACTACTCCTCACTACTCCCCACCACCCCTCACAGCCCGTCACTGTCCCCACTACTCCTCACTACCCCTCACCGCCCCTCCCCACAGCGCCGCTTGGCCCCAGGGCCGCAGACGCTCCGCGCGCTCCCGCCTGCCCCGGCCCGGCTGGACCGCGTGCGCGCGCCCGTCCCACCGCTGCCGCGCCCTCTGCGCAGGCGCGGGGCCGCTCGCGCCCCCGGTCCCGCCGGACGCGGCCCGGAGCGGCGGAGAGCGGTGAGGGCGAGCGCGGCTCCGGGAGTCGACCGAGGGGGCATGGAGCTCGGTGTCGGGCGGTAGCATAGCGGCAGCATCCTCCAGCGAGGGGCCGGGAGGGAGCCGGAGGGGGCCGGTTCCGAGACTGGCCTTCGTCAGGCCCCCGTGTCCGGGCCGCGGGTCGCTGGCTGTGCTCTAGACCAAGCAGCAGCTGCGGGGGAGGCTCGGGCGCGGCCCGGCCGCTGTGTCTGGGCGTGGGCTCCGGAACCCAGGGCGGAACCTCCGGGGCTGTCGGTGACCGGGCGCTGGGGGCTCTGGGCTGCGCCTGGGGCTGGCTCGGTGCGTGGAGGGGCTGGAAGATGTTCGAATGGCTTGTGCGAGCCCCAGGTGCCGGGCAGTGCCTGAGGATCCTCTGCCCGCTGGTGGGGCTCCCCCGGCGCGCAGAGTTTACGCCTAGGCTGCCAGCCCACCCCGCAGCGGGGCAGTCTCGGCAGGGAGAGCTCGCTAAGCCTAGCTCTTGTCTTCTGCAGCCTCCGCCTTCAATGTTTTTGAAATTTCTATAATGAAAGTAGAATTTTGTTGAGAGTTTGTTTTCACCTTAGTCTTTCCGGCCGATCCTTCAGTGAAAATTGCTGCTGGAATATTTGGGCTGGCACACTGTTAGCCACCAAACACCAAATTTAGAGCGCTGGCTGGGACCTGCCAAAATGCTCCCCAGCCTCTCTGGGCCTGTGAGCAAGCGAGCAATGGCCGGGTGGATGCAGCTGATGCTGATTCTGGTCCCAGGGCAGCAGGAGGGAGGACACGTCTCAGGTGCTTGTGAGGAGAGGACAGTGAGACCTTCTCCTTTAACTGTATTATCTCAATCCTTGTGTTTTTATATCCAATTCCTACAAGAAGCTGGAGCATCTGAAAGCTTTTCTGGCTTAGAGGAAATCCCAGTAGGATTTTCAGAGCATACAGGAGTACCCAGAGCATAGAAATAACATGGATCATATCTAGGGCACTGTATTACCAGAACAGGGAATTCCCTGGTGTTGGAATTTCCTTCTCTCTGTTATCACTAGCTGTTAGACTGTTGCAAAAGACTTCTCCGAGGTGGTTACTCAAGAACAACAATGATAACTGTAGTTCAAGGATTCCAGCAACATTTTATAGTAACTTTTTGTTCCTTCCAAGCAATACCTGATACTTATATCCTTTGTATTTTTCAAAACAGCTGTGGATAGTATTGAACAATAATTAGCTGTTGGGAATCCTTGTACTGAAAGTCTTTTGTGTCATTAATATTTGAAAGTTTGCAGGTGTTCCCATGGCCAGAAATTTTAACTCAAAGAAAAACAGCTTTCTCCCTGGTTTTTTTTTGGGTTGGTTTATTTGTTGTTTGTTTGTTTTGAGAGGGTTGTTGTTTTGTTTTGTTTGAGATTTTTTGGTAGTGGTGGTGGGGGTTTTGTGGTTTTTGTTTTGTTCTTTGTTTCTGTGGGGTTTGTTTGTTTGTTTGGGGCTTTTGGGGGTTTTTGTTGTTAATGATTAAGTGCTGCCAAGTAAATGTTTCTAGCAGGCTGTTTGTGGATCCATCACATATTTAAGTACCTCTGCTCTTCCCAGCTCACTCCTTATTTTTGTGATCTTTGTTTTCTCCCTTTGGTTGTATTTGCTTATTTGTTCTGCTAATCGGAAATCTTTAAGGGCCTCCATCCTCTGATCCCCCTGTTATTTGGACTGTAAAGAAAAATGGGAAAAGAAGCTATCCCTGTACTAAAATAACTGTCCGTGTATTTAAGGCAAGCAAAGCAGTACATCCTGCATGGGTGTCTCACCACCTCCAACACCACGGTTATTGCAGTCTGATATTGCATTGTTTAGGCATTATTGTTGGCTTGTGTTGTATGCACTGTCTGGCATTTGTTTAGGTTGTGCCTTTGCTTTAGTGCTGAAGAGACATACAGGCAGTGACAGCAGTTATTGGTAACATGCCATAGCTTGGGTCCTTGCTGTTCTTCTGGCTCTGCAGAACTCCCCCTGCCTTCCCTGTCAGGTTGGAGAGGCAGCTGGAACTGCTGCTGCTGGGCTGTGTGGCTGCATGCTCAGGCACAGATGAGTCTGTGTTACCACTCAGAATTGATAAACTGTGTTACTGGTCTGAAGGAAAAGTAGCTCCTTTTATTCTGTCTGTACAGCCTTGAATCAAGACTAAAGAACTACAATTTTTCTCAAATTTGTTTGGGGATGCCTTTATTTTCAGGTTTATTTGCAAAAGTCTGACACAATTGAATGGAGGTGCAGTAGGTTTTGTTGCAGAAATGGTGTTCTTGAGCTATTTCCTGCTTTGGTACTTGACCAGTCACCTGATACAAAAGTAGATCTTATTGCACTATAATTAATGATTGACTGGCTTGGAGTCCACATGTATTGGTGGGGATATGTGCTGGTGAGGTCCTGTTCTGTTCTCAAATGTTTTAAAATCCCTGGTGTTAATGGAAGTGCTTGTATCTGCGGTGTTCATACTCTTAGGCTTTAACAGAACTCATTGTTTCTCCTCCTGCTTAAACTTCTGCAGTTAGAGAACAATTGCCTGAACTTTCAGAAATGTTGCAAAAGACCATGAGCTGTTGATTCCCAGTGTCTTGTGAAGGAGACTCAGGAGAAATCTGGGTGACTGCCAATGTCTGTGTTAAGGAGTGTGCTGAATGATGCTTGAGGTGCAGGCAGCTACATCACCACAGAACCACAGAGTGCTTTGCCTTGGAACAGCCCTTAAGGCCCATCTTGTTACACCCCCTGCCATGTCCAGGGATGCCTTCCACTGTCCCAGGTTGCTCCAAGCCCCGTCCAGCCTGGCCTTGGACACTTCCAGGGATCCAGGAGCAGGGATTCCAGCTTCTCTGTGTCTGCCAGGGCCTTACCACCCTCACAGGAAAGAATTTCTTCTGAAAATCTAATCTAAACTTACTCTCTGTCAGTGTAAAATCCTTTCTTCCTCTCCTGATTATGTTGTCAAATAAGTGTAACTCAGGTGTAGCTGCCAAAATTCAACACTTCATTGTTTTGTTATTTTTTATGGGGAAAACAAAGGAGAAATAAATCTTCCACAAGTACAAGTGTAGTGCCTGTGTTTCAGAAAACTCGTACTGCTATTGCCAAATCTGCTGTGCTGGCTGTCAACATTTTGAAAAGAAAAATAACATTCAGATTAGTTTGAATTTTTCTACCTAATAGGACAAGGGCCAGATACCAACTCTCAGCAAATCAGCTGTTCTAACCCCATAGTGCACTGCATATCATCAGAGTGTAGTTGGGTTTGTTGGGTTTGTTTCAAAACTGGTGATCCAAACACTGCAGAGCTGGAATTCCAAAATCATGTACCTGTGCAGCAAGTACCTATTAGTCCCTGGAGGAGAGACACTTTCCAGAGATTGCCTATTTAATGTGGACTTTGTACATCCTGTAGAGAATAGGGGGGGCTAAAAGTATTTCTGACACAGCTGCCCCAAGTAGTAATCCTGCTTGTGATTTTAGAGACTGAAATGAGTTGTTGATGCTGCAAGCACTTTAATAATGTGGTTATTTAGCTGTTCTCTTTGGTGAGGGTGTTTGTCACCTTGTTTTCTACAGCACAGTTTCAGGAATGAAGGTTGAAGCTATGCATGCAGATAATTTTTTTTTTAAGCTGTGGAGGTCAGTGGTGCACCTGATGCATATCAGTGCTGCCCAGTGCACTGTTGAAAAAACAGTCTAGTTTTTACAGGTTATTTTTCACCTCACAAACAGACCAAACAGAAGGGAGTAAGTTATAAGAAGATCCGTACAGTCACAAGTTCTAAGATAAGGGTTAATAAAAGCACTTCAGTCTGAGTGGCAGAGGACTTTTGGGATTCTTTTTGTTTAATAGTTTTGTTCTGTAATATCTTCATTTTATAAAGAAAATGTTTGTTTTCTAACCTGGATGTGGAGACAGGACTCTGTTCCTGGTTTACATTTCAGTATGCCTGTATCCTCCAGGTGAGAGACTTGGAGCCCCTTGGCCGGGGCAGTGCCACTGGAGAGAGGAGCAGGTGCCTTGTGGGATGGAGACAGAGATCTCTGCAGCCAGGTCAGGAACTTGGGGTTTATTGCAAAGGGCCTGGGGGCAGGGCCCTGCTGGGAGCTGCAGCCACAGCTCAGAGCAGGCTGAGAGAAGAGAGGGGGGGAGAGGGTGAGAGGGTAAGAGAGTGAGGTTCCCATTACAATACAAATCTTCTTCTGTGTTGAATATTCTAATTCTCACTAACCAATCTAGTACAAGATAAAAATCCTATAGCATTTACATACAGCCTATAAGAATCATTACATCACCATACTGTGTTACTTTTTAAACCCTATAAACTGCTTTTTGAGCCCCTTCTTCTACTCTGACCCTTGGGCCTGTCTGCAAGCAGAGGGTGTTGTTCCATCAAAAGGGGATTACCTTCGGCAGCCACACCATTGTTTTCCAGTTGTTCAGTAACTGAGGGATCTCAAAGCTTGCTTTCATTTCAATCTCACTTATAGTTTCTATAGTCTCAAAATCTTTTGCCAGACAATCACATTTATAAGGCTTTCCTGTTTCATCTTCCCCAACAGTGTGTCAGGTGTGTTAAATGCCTTCAAGTTTCCTCAGAGCGAGCACATGGGTACAGAGCACCCTCAACAGCAAACCTTCCTGTAAAACCTGTGCCCTGGATTCTGAACTCTATGACAGGGCCAGTCACCCAAAGTTCTCTCCACAGAAAGACTAGAAGATTAGCAGTATAGTATACACTAATAGTAAGATTATAAACTTGGCAACCTGTCTGTTGTGATTTTGAAATCACAATCAAAGTAACGCAGGACTAGTGTGGGATTTCATACTCATCAGTTTTTCATTACAAGGTGCTGTTTCTGTACCTTTGCTGCCACACAGAAGTGTTTGTTGCTATTATTTTAATCGAGCATAAGTTTAGAAAGATGACAGAAATAAGTACCAAGATAAAGCAATGTGTTGTTCCAGTTCCCCAAAGTGG